GGGGGGGGGGGGGGTGGCTGTGGTGGTACCATCCTCGACGATTATGTTGTCTCGGATGGAGACTTCAGGGCTTTGGGTTTGGCCATGGTTAGCCCGTGTGAGATCCTTCGGGCTTGTCGGGTTTGGTTGAAGATCTGAAGTCGCTTTTCGTTTGGATGTTCGTTAGGTTTTATGGGCGTTGGGTTCGTGTCCCGACAGGGGAGGGTATTGTCCTTGTTTATTCCTGTTTTCTTTATTTTGCTTAGTTTTTAGATGGTGTAGGTTGGTGTTTGTCAATGGGGAATTCCCCATCGGGTTCTGCCCCCCCATACCCGGCCCCGAGTTGGGGAAATCTCCCCCATGGGGATCACCGAAACTACTCATGGGGATGATTTTTCCCCCATACCCGACTCCGATAGGGAATCGGGTCCCCGTCGGGGCCCCATACCCGCGAAATTAAGTTCACAGACTAGCTTAGGGGACGAATCCATGGCACGGGGACGGCCGGACGGGGCACGGCGAGCCGGCGAGGAGAGTGGATCTGAGCGAGAGGGTTGAGGGAGGAGAGGAGAGATGGTGCGCGTGCGTCGCTACTCGCTACGCCCCGGCGGCTGCTGGACTCGGGAGACGGGGATAGTGAAGGGTTGGAGACCTAGAACAGTACATCTGGAGTATATATACACTAGGGTTTGACTTGGAGTGGGCTGAGATGTTAGGCTTATTTCCTATGGGCCTTTGCTGCGTAACCCCCACGGGTAATCGGGTTCGGGGGAGGCTCCCCATACCCGCCTCCGCCATGGGGAGGGTTTTTTCCCCATTTAACCCCCCATGGGGACAAAATCCCCCCATACCCGCCTCCTAATGGAAGAATTCTCCACGGATAATCGGGTATCGGGTCCCCATTGACATCCCTAGGTCTGTCTTTGAGTTCTCCCGTTTTGGGAGTTTCTTCCTCCACTTGTTGGAGTTTCTGCCTCCACTTTGTTGGAGTTTCGTTGTGTGTTTTTCCGCGATTTGTGTGTGTTGGCATTAGGCCGGTTTGGACTACACCTTGTGTAGATCTCTCACTTCCAGCTTTTTACCTGAGCCGTTTCAGGTTTTCGCTGTTTTGGTGTTTGTAATTTGTGATTTGTGCTATAAAATCTATCGTTTGGAAAAAAAAATACTTTCAAATTGAAATGTCCACAATAATTTGGTTGACGTTTTGATAGATTTATTGGGCAAAC